GTTTAAAAAAAAAAAAAAAAAAAAAAAAAGCCTGGCACTTGGAGAAGAAAATTAAGATCTTCTCAAATGCCACCAACTGTTTTCCAGTTCCTCTTATATTTAGACTTACATATGTATATATTGACCAAAAAAAAAAAAAAAAACCTCATTCATATCCTCAGTATTTATTGTGTCTACATTGTAGAGACAGGTATCAGTACAAGGGTGAACAAGACCAATACAGACCCTGCTCTCATGGAATTGACATACTAGTTATTGAGATGTATAATAAACAAGTAAACAAGTTGATAATATATATAGTGATATGTGTAAGAATAAAGGGATAGAGGACAATGGGAAAAGAGTTAATTCAGATAGTATAGTCAGAAATGAATCTCTCTGGTCTTAGTTGGGCATTTTATAGATATATGGCTCCTTTTCAATGATTCAATTAATGTTTCTTCAATTGGAAGTCCTCAGCAGAATTGATGTGTTTCAATTCGTCATTCTTGTTTTATTAGTTGCTATCATGTTCTGTGGTAGACTTGTATAATTTTAACGGGAAAAGCAAACAGGCTGTTTTTTTTTTAATTATTATTAAGTCTTTTATATTACTGTATCTAAGTAGCTACCTCAAATAGTGCACTAGAAATTTTCTTACCTTCCATTAAGTCTCATTATGTTTATAGATTTTATTGGTTCGGGATACATTAGCTCACCAGAGTCTGATTTTTCATGCCAGTTGTATGAATATTAGATGAAATTTTGATATACTGATACCATGTTTTCATATGGTGATTTCTGTGCACTTTGGCTTTATCCTTTAACCTTTGAATTTATTCTCACTTTTTGTCAAAAGCTTTTCCAAGGCCCATTCTATAACCCCCCTATCCCAGACCTGGCACTGAATTGGATATGAGTGCATTTTTCTGGTTTTGTTTAGTTTAGCATGTTTCAGTACATAAACTTTTTTCCCCTCATTTGATTCGTGTATTGTCAAAATGGTGGCTTCCTTTAGCTCCCTCAAGCTATTTTTGTGTCCCTTTGATGTGACCCACTGTTGCAAAACTTTTTTCTTTCAGACAAAACATTACAGGGTACACATCATACTTTCCCTGCTCCAGATCATTATTCAGGCCTTTGTTCTAGGATTCCTAGTTTATTATCTGGTTTACTTTAACAACAAGAACAATAAGGCATGGTTATAGTTCTTCTGTTTCATGGAGTTTGAAAATTTTATCTCATTCCAGAAATTTAGTTTTTTCCAACTATTGTTGCTTTTGGGGTTGGTTTTATATATCTCTTTACCAAGAAATTAATTCATTAGTCTACATTTTAATCTTTATTAGCATAGGAGTCCTATAACATTTTTTATATGTTTTCATCACATTGTAATTGTTTGATAATTTTTCTCACTTTTTCTTTGGGTCACTGTTCTTTTATATACATTGGTTATTTTTACTCTTTTTTTTATTAAATAAGCATTTAAATCCTTACTTTTTATGAGACAAATATATTTGCATTCCATAGATGTCAATTAGAAATGTTTTCAACTTCATGGTTCTCTACAGATTTTGTGATTTCAGTTACATTTCCACATTGACCCAACAGTTTAATAGAGCTTCTTTTTTTTTTTAAGACAGAGTCTCACTCTGTTGCCTAGCCCGGAGTGCAGTGCTGTGCTGCAATCTCAGTTCACTGCAATCTCTGTCTCCCGGGTTTGAGTGATTCTCCTGCCTCAGCCTCTCAAGTACCTGGCATTACAGGTATGCGCAACTATGCCCAGCTAATTTTCTTTTTTTTTTGTATTTTTAGTAGAGATGGGGTTTTGCCATGTTGGCCAGGCTGTGCTGGAACTCCTGACCTTATGTGATCCGCCTGCCTCGGTCTCCCAAAGTGCTGGGATTACAGGTGTGAGCCACTGCACCTGGCCTAGCAGAAAGCTTCTTTATTTCTAGCTGAAAGTACTTTTGACTTAGTGATACTGTCACTCAAATCTGGTTTTAATGTTTTAGGCAGATATTGATGCCTGCATTATTTAATCTTTCTTATATTCAGTCACAGGAAATAACTCTTGTCTCTTATCATACAGTGTTTATCTGTCACTGAGTTTTCCCCAGGCATTCCCTTCTCTCATATCCATAAAATCCTTCATTACAAAGTGCCTTACAATCTTATCTACCTAGACCTCCTTCTTCATATGATTCTGTTAGCATATTCTCCTTTTCACTCATAAGCCCTTGCTCAGAACTGTATAAGTCTAACAGTGGTTATAATTATATTCAGATATAATTCTAATATCTGAAATATAATATTTTTGGGAAGCACTAGCATTAGTTGACTTTGGGTATAAGAAAATGGAAAGGAATATCTGAAAGAGCATAATAAGAATAAATGGAAGTTTTAGGAGGACAACAGAGTAAGTATAAATACGCTATTGAAGAGAAGTAAATAACACATTTCATCTTGATTGTATTTCTTCATCCCATATGTCAATCATGGCTCTGCATAGAAGGGAATAAACAATAGTGGCGGAGACAATATATGCAAGTGGAGAGGCAGTTGGAAAATACATATGATTGCTCACCATATTTATGTGTCTTACTATATTATGAATATATATGTAATCATCACTAATACAATGTGAGGGTTAAGAGGCACTGACAACTGGCATTATTCTTTTAGTTACGTAATTATTTTGATGCTGTTTTCCAGTGACTTATCTTTGTATATATACCTCTGTTTTTATTTAGATTCATTTATATAGTGATTTACTTTTCCTCTAGTTAACTATCATATATTGTGTCCTTATGGCTTATTATACATTGGCACATGAAAATTTATTTCATTTATCCTTGTGGAATTTAAGGAATAAAGAAGTAAATGGTGTAAGAGAATATACAACTGAAAAAAATATATATGATGGTATCTGTGGGCAGCTCTAAATGATAGGAAATTTGTTTGATCTAGGAGGTGAAAAATGTTGAAAAGAATGGGTTCTAATGAGGTTTTTGGTGTTTTTATTTTTTCTGAGATGGACTCTTGCTCTGTAGCCCAGGCTAGAGTGCAGTGGTGTGATCTCAGCTCCCTGCAACCTCCACCTCCTGGGTTCAAGCAATTCTTGTGCCTCAGCCCCCCGAGTAGCTGGGATTACAGGTACATGCCATCATGCCTGGTTAATTGTTTGTATTTTAGTAGAGGCAGGGTTTCACCGTGCTGCCCAGGCTGGTCTCAAACTCCTGAGCTCAGGTAACTCACCCACTGTGGCTTCCCAAAGTGCTAGGATTACAGGTGTGAACCAACACACTCAACTAAAGTGAGGTCTTACAAATTGCACGTTGTTATTATCCTTGGTAAAGTTTATTTTGGGGGAAGAAAATCACAGTAGTGTTAGTTTATGTGGATTATCAAATTTTGATCGGCATTAGCATTATCTCTACAAGATGCTAATGACTAGTTCTTCATTTGCAGATTTTGATTCCATTTAACCAACAACTTTAACAGGTGATGACCAACACTTAAATTTCAAATCCACTGACTTAATCTGTTACCCTTATCACAAATCTCATAATCTCTATGTTCTGTTGTTATTCTTGAGCTCTCTTTGTCTTTTTCTAAATTTCATAACAGTATTTCAACCAATTCATGTATATGGTGAATTATTCTTAGATTGTTTCTTCTTTCTATAACTTTTATTTTAGTAGTACATGAAAATTATTGTTTCCTTTCTTTCAGATTTGGAGTCCAAGTATGAGACTAAGCTTTTACCTGTAGGAACAGACATTATTAAAAACAGTGGTTCTCAGTGGGAGGTAATGGAAAGTAGTAAGTTATGTGGCCTTGAAAATTCCATTTTCAGAAGTGACTGGCAAAGCAAAAGCAAGATTGAAGTACAGGGACCTAAAGTGGGATATTTTAGTCAAATGAAAACCATCTCTCAAAATGTGCCCAGTAACAAAACTCATGAATTTCTTACATTACCTCAGAGAACTCATGACAGCGAGAAGCCCTATGAATATAAGGAATATGAGAAGGTCTTCAGTTTTGACTCAAAGTTTGATGAATATCAGAAAATACATACTGGTGGAAAAAACTATGAATGTAATAAATGTTGGAAAGCCTTTGGGATAGATAACTCCAACATGCTGCAACTGAATATTCATACTGGTGTGAAACCTTGTAAATACATCAAATATGGGGATACATTTTGTTTTTATAAAGACCTTAATATACACCAGAAAATTCATAATGAGAAGTTCTATAAATGTAAGCAATACAGAAGGACCTTTGGAAGAGTTGGAGACGTTACTCCACTTCAAGGTGGAGATGGTGAGAAACATTTTGAATGCTCGTTCTGTGGGAAATCCTTTAGAGTGCATGCACAACTTACTCGACATCAGAAAATCCATACTGATGAGAAATCTTACAAATGTCTGCAATGTGGCAAGGATTTCAGATTTCATTCACAACTTACTGAACATCAGAGAATTCATACTGGTGAGAAGCCCTACAAATGTATGCACTGTGAGAAGGTTTTTAGAATTAGTTCACAGCTTATTGAACATCAGAGAATTCATACTGGAGAGAAACCTTATGCATGTAAGGAATGTGGGAAGGCTTTTGGAGTTTGTAGAGAACTTGCTCGTCATCAGAGAATTCACACTGGTAAGAAACCTTATGAATGCAAAGCATGTGGAAAGGTCTTTAGAAATAGTTCATCCCTGACTAGACATCAGAGGATTCATACTGGTGAAAAACCCTATAAATGTAATGAATGTGAGAAAGCATTTGGAGTAGGCAGTGAACTTACTCGACATCAGAGAATTCACAGTGGTCAAAAACCTTATGAATGTAAGGAGTGTGGAAAGTTCTTTAGACTTACGTCAGCCCTTATTCAACATCAAAGAATTCACAGTGGTGAGAAACCTTATGAATGTAAGGTATGTGGGAAGGCCTTTAGACATAGTTCAGCCCTTACAGAACATCAGAGAATTCATACTGGAGAGAAACCCTATGAATGCAAGGCATGTGGGAAGGCTTTCAGACATAGTTCATCCTTTACCAAACATCAGCGCATTCATACTGCTGATAAACCCTATGAATGTAAGGAATGTGGGAATTCCTTTAGTGTGGTTGGACATCTTACTTGCTGTCCAAAAATTTATACTGGTGAGAAAGCATTTGACTGAAATGAATGTATAAAGTTTTTTTTATTTCTGATTTTCACAGGAAAAAACTATGGATAGATTTAATAGGTAATCAACGCAATTCAGTATCTCCCTCTTTTAGAGTCTATTTTAGACTTTGTGGCCATTCTGTATGTAGAAGTAGAATTGCTTAGTCATAGCTGATATATACTTATCGCTTTGTTAGATATTGCCAAATATTTCTCTTTTATATTAAAAAGTTTTTTTCAGGGGTTTCTCATCCAGGCATGTTTTGTTTACACGTTTTGGTGTTTATATTTTTGCTCTATTGTCTTGTTTTGTAATTGTAGTATTATTTCAATATTTTTCTTAGATTGTAATTATTTGCTTGTGACATCTGTACTTAATTTATTTTCCTCCAGAAAGTTAGAACTCCCAGTCAGAAACAACATATTTTTATACTCTTATAGCTCTTCATTTTGTGTAATGTGCTTTTTTTTTAATGATAAAAATGTGATCTTTCCATTTTCATCAAATGGTTCCCTTCTCTTTAAATTTCTACTTTATTTTGATATAAAATATTCCTCTTTAATAAAACCACACATACGGCCAGGCATGGTGGCTCACACCTGTAATCCCAGCACTTTGGGAGGCCAAGGCAGGTGGATCACCAGTTTGAGATTGAGACTTTCCTGGCCAACATGGTGAAACCCTGTCTCTACTAAAAAAAATAAAAAAATAATTAAAAAAAAAAATAGCTAGGCATGGTGGCACATGCCTACTGGGCATGTAATCCCAGCTACTGGGGAGACTGAGGCAGAAGAATCACTTGAACCCAGGAGGCATAGATTGCAATGAGCTGAGATCACACCACTGCACTCCAGCCTGGCAAGAGAGCGAGACTCCGTCTCAGAAAAAACCAAAAATATATAATATAATATAATACAATATAATATAATATAATATATATATGAACTGGTTGTAATCCACTATAACACACACACACACACAATATGTGTATGTATATAGTGTGTGCATGTTGTATGCTATATATAGTATATGTATGTGTGTTATATTGGAATATAACCGGTTCCTTTAAGGAGTCTTTTTACTTGTAGGCTGTAACAACCAAGATCCAAATGAAGAGAACTTTTGTAAATATTTGATGAAAGTACTCACCAAATAAGTCTCTTAAAACTTATCATTCTAGGGCCGGGCATGGTGGCTCACGCCTGTAATCCCAGCACTTCGGGAGGCCGAGGCGGGTGGGTCACCTGAGGTTGGGAGTTCGAGACCAACCTGGCCAACATGGTGAAACCCAGTCTCAAAAAAAAAAAAAAGAAGAAAATATAACATTCTATTAAATTATCACTCTTAAATATGTCAAACACCTTTAAAAGGGGAGGAAAAATGACCACTGAACTTACATTAAGAGGATTTACAACTATATATTAACATGGCTTCAATTGTGTTTTAATCTTTCATCATTATTTTTCTTTTTATTCCCTCTCAGTTGCCTTACTAGGTTTGGACATTTCAACAATCAGCAGATCTTCTTTGGTTTAACTAATCTCATTTAACTACAAAATCATCTCTCTCTTAGGACAGCTGACTTGGTTATGCAGTCAATGAGATCACGAGCCACTGGTTATTAGATTTCCATAAGAAAATTTAACTATCTTGTTCAGATGAATTTATGTCACCATCATTCATTACATTTTAATTTTTGAACTGGTATCTTTCCCAGAATTTATGTACTCTATAAAGGTCTGAATGATTACCAGTACTAAGGCATTTTCTCATCTGATACATTGAGCTATGTTTTACGTAAGTATTGCTTATTCAAGTAGTTTTAAAAGATAAGTAATTGGTTGTTGTTTCATGTCCTACACAGTAAGAACAAGAATATGTTAACCTTTTTGTTAGGATATTTGGTATTTCATATCTTTCAAATAGAGTACTAGCTCTATTTCTTTTCTTTTTTTTTCTTTTTGAGACAGTTTTCTCTTTTTGAGACAGGCTGGAGTGCAATGACATGACCTTGACTCATTGCAACCTTCACCTTCTGGGTTCACATGATTCTCCTGCCTAAACGTCTCAAGTAGCTGGATTTACAGGCACCTACCACCATGCCTGGCTAATTTTGTATTTTTAGTAGAGATGAGGTTTCTCCATGTTGGTCAGCCTTGTCTAAAACTTCCAACCTCAGCTGATCTGCCCACATCAGCCTCCCAAAGTGCTGAGAGTGAGCCACTGTGCCTGGCCACTGGCTTTATTTCTAACCAAACACTATTTATGTGACAACACAGCTAATTTACTCTTGGATCCCATTCTACCTTTTTATCTTGAGTTACCATCAGTGCTAATGTTCCTCTCTTGGGTGTAGTTCTCCAGGAGAATTTGTCCTATACTTCTTTGTGTGTTTTTTTCTTTCCACCTGAAACAAATTAAAACTACTAAATATCTAAGCCTTGTATATAGACATTAAAATTAAAAGCAGTGAGAAAAACAAAATATCCTTGTATTTTGGCTTTTACTTTTTCTTTTTTTTTTTTGGGACGGAGTTTCGCTGTTGTTACTCAGGCTGAAGTGCAATGGCGCGATCTCAGCTCACCGCAACCTCTGCCTCCTGGGTTCAGGCAATTCTCCTGCCTCAGCCTCCTGAGTAGCTGGGATTACAGGCACGCGCCACCATGTCCAGCTAATTTTTGTATTTTTAGTAGAGACAGGGTTTCACCATGTTGACCAGGATGGTCTCGATCTCTTGACCTCGTGATCCACCCACCTCGGCCTCCCAAAATGCTGGGATTACAGGCATGAGCCACCACGCCCGGCCAGCTTTTACTTTTTCAAGTTGTTAATAAATGATAAATTAATGAATAAAATGTATCTTTATTATGGTTTCCTTATTTGCAATTACAGCTATATTTTTTATCATATTAACATTTTTCATTTAACTCTGTTATGAAGTCACGACATTTCACACATACTCCAAACCATAATATAATTATGGTTGGTGGTATTAACTGTTTGGTTTTTACTACCGTTTCATACTCAAAAATATAAAACTTCACCATTCTTTCCATTTTTATTTGCCCCTATATTCTTTCTGACTTCTCTCTGTTGGATTTCTTTGATTATATGAGACAGTACCATAGAGCTATTCAGCTGCAAACCTGCACCATTCTCCCCCCGAAAGGGGAAGAATGATTCTGATGACACTTCAGAGATCATCAGGCCTGTTTCCTTGGTTTCAAAGTGTGGGGCCACTACTTTGGTTTCAAGAGGCAAAACAGCCCGTGGCCAGAGCTTAAAAAGTAGGCCACCCAGAACCTTGGGGGCATGACCTTCCTAGCAGAGTTGTAGGGGAAGGACTCCCAGCAAAATCATAGAGGTGGTACCCCTACCCCAGTGAGTCTTTGAGGTGGGACTGCAAGCCATTGAACCTGGAAGATGGACATTGAGTCAACAAGGCTTATTCTATAGCTTTAAGATCTAATGGATTTAACCTTGTTAGATTTTAGACTTGCTTGGAATCTTCCTTCTTTTCTATTTCTCCCTTTCTGAATCAGAATGTTTATCCTGTGTCTCACCACTGTACTTTTGAAACACATAACTTGTCTGATTTCACTTATAGCTGTTTATAGCTAGAGATGCATTTTCCTCAGGGTGAACTATGCCTCCAGGCACACCCATGTCTTTCTTATGTTTTGGTTTGTTTTTGGAGACATGGTGTGACTCTGTCATCCAGACTACAGTGCAGTGGCATGATCATGGCTCACTGTAGCCTCAACTTTCTGGGCTCAAATGATTCTCCCACCTCAGCCTCCCAAGTAGCTGGGACTACAAGTGCATGCCACCATGCTCAGCTAATTTTCTTTTCTTCTGTTTGTTTGGTTTTTTTCATATTTGTTTTGTGGAGTTAGGATTCACTGCATTGCCCAGGCTGGTCTTGAACTCCTGGGCTCTAGCAGTCCATCCACCTTGACCTCCCCAAATCCTAGGACTGCAGGCATGAGCCATCACACTGGCCTTGTATAGATGACACTTACATGACATTTTGGACTTACAGAATTTAGCACTGATGATTTCAACATCAACTCTAAAATCTATGAATCAAGACTTCGGGGATTCCCAAGATGTATATTTTTAAAATGCACTTACATAAAATATATTCATGATGGATAATCTAAATGTGAAGTGTAAAACTATAAAACTAGAAGATGGCATAGAAAAAAATCTAGGCAAGCTGACTGGGATTGGCAAATGATCCAACTCCACACCAAAAGCATGATTCATGAAATAAAAATCTGCATTAGATGTCATTAAAAGAAAAACCATTCATGGTGTCAAAGATAGTGTTAAGACAATGAAAACTCACAGACTGGGAGAAATTATTTGTAAACATATCCGATGAACATAAAAAAATATACAAAGAGGCTGGGTGCGGTGACTCATGCCTGTAATCCCAGAATTTTGGGAGGCCAAGGTGGGTGAATCACAAGGTCAGGAGTTTGAGACCAGCCTGGCCAACATAATGAAACCTCGTCTCTACTAAAAATACAAAAATTACCTAGGAATGGTGGTGCATGCCTGTAATCCCAGCCACTTGGATTTAGCCCCACCTGGGACCAAAAGCTACTTGGGAGGCTGAGGCAGGAGAATCACTTGAACCTGGGAGGTGGAGGTTGTGTTGAGCCAAGATTGCATCATTACACTACAGCCTGCGCAACAGTGTGAGGCTCTGCCTCAAAAATCTATATATAGATATATCTATATACACAGATTATATATAATCTATATATACACACAGATTATATATAGATATATATAGATTATATACACATATATACACACATCTGTATATATACACAACACATAAAACTGAACAATAGAAAATAACCCAATTTTTAAATGTAAAAAGGATCTGAATACCTCATGAATGAAGATATGCAAACAGCAAATAAGGTTATGCAAAGATCATCAACATCACGTGGCATTAGGGAATTGCAAATTAATATAAGAATACATCAATACATAGCTATTAAAATATCTGAAATCCAAAATGCTGACTATACCAAATGCTGGTGAGAATGTTAATAGGAACTCGATCATTCATTGCTGGTGGAAAAGCAAGAGTATAAACACTTTGGAAGACAGTTTGGCATTATTATTTTCTTTCTTTTTAAATTTTCTTTACTTTTTATGATAGGATCTTACTCTGTCACCCAGGCTGGAGTATGGTGGCATGATCACTCTCACTGCAGCTTCAACCTCCTGGATTCAGGTGATCCTCTGGCCTGTTTTGAGTAGCTGGGACCAAAGGCGCACACCACTGTTGATGGTAACGTTTTTTACTATTTGTAGAGCTAGGGTCTGGCTATGTTGCCCAGTCTTGTCTCAAATTCCAGGGGCCAAGCAACCCTCCTGCCTCAGCTTCCCAAAGTATTGGGAATACAGGCATGAGCCACCGTAATAGCCAGTTAAGCACTGCCTAACAAAGCTAAAAATAATCTTACAGTATCACCCAGCATTCTTTCTTCCAGGAATTTATCCAAATGAGTAGAAAACTTATGTCTACACAAAAGTC